CAAGCTCCGCAAATCACTATATGGTCTCAAACAGGCACCCCGTGCATGGTACACACGCCTCTCCTCTTTTTTGCAGGGCCTTGGATTCAAGTGCTGCATTCATGATACCAGCTTGTTCACCAGACACTGCTCTCGTGGGACTATTGTTGTCCTTGTCTATGTTGATGATATTGTTCTCACTGGCAGCTCTTCTACTCTCATCTCAGAAGTTACTCAGGCCATGCACCGTGACTTCAAGCTCAAAGAACTTGGACCTCTTCATTACTTCCTTGGCATTGAGGTTCAGCGCACGCAAGATTCTATACTTCTCCATCAATCCAAATATGCCCGTGATCTTCTACGCCGAGCTGGGATGTCCGACTGTCATCCGGCTATTACTCCTATGGCTACGAGACCTATCACTAAGCCTTCGTTGCCTTTCAAGGATATTTCTCATTTTCGGAGCATTGTTGGCGGTTTACATTACTTGGCTGTCACTCGTCCAGACATTCAGTATGCTGTTAATCGAGTGTCTCAGACTATGCACAACCCCACTGAGCAGGACTATCATGCCTTGCAACGCGTTCTGCGCTATCTCAAAGGCACTTTGAATCATGGTCTTCTTTTTCGCAAGGGGGGATTCGACCTATCTGTCTACTCTGACTCTGACTGGGCCAATGATAAAGATGATCGCAAGTCTACCACGGGCTACATACTCCTACTCGGTCCTAATATCATCTCTTAGTGCACGAAAAAGCAGACTCGTGTTTCTAGATCATCCACTGAAGCTGAATATCGAGTTATGGCTGCAGGGGTTGCAGAAGCTATGTGGCTTCGATATATCACTGATGCACTGGGTATTCCTCCGTCCAAACCGAAGTTATACTGTGACAATGAGTCGACTATCTGTGTCACCAAAAATTCGGTTCTTCATGATCACATGAAGCATGTGGGCACAGACTGTCACTTTGTACGAGATGAGGTTATGGCAGGCTCTATGACTCCACATCATGTTTCCTCCTCAGAGCAGCTAGCAAACATTCTTACCAAACCGCTTCCGCTAGTTCCTTTTGAGTACTTATGTTCCAAGCTGCCCCTCGTCTCCGTTGATTAGCTTGCGGGGGGATATCAGGAAGTATAATTAAATTAGGATACTTCTTTCCTTTCCTACTAGGATTATTCTTTCCTTTCCTACTTGTACTTTGATTACTCTTGTATTCCCTATATATAGGGTCATATCTCTCAATATTCAATAAGACAAGTTATTATCAAATTGTATCAGTAATTACGGAGTAATAATTTACATTTTCACATGAGATATTTTAATGTTGTTTCAATTTTAAATATTTTTTTACATACAGATAGTATATTAGTATTGCTATTTCATTAAAGAACGGTTTGTTTAAATAAAATGCAACGCATTTTAAAATTTTTGTTTTAAAATATTTTTAAGAAATGAATCGAGAATACAAAATGCAAAAAAAAAAAAAACGAACCAATAATTCACATGTTCTGCTTGAAATCGAACTAATTGAAAATTTGAAACCGAAAGCCGAATTAAAAATACAGGACCCGCCTTGATTTGGCAAGGCAACCAAACAGCGACCTAGAACGAATGCATACAGTGAATAAAAGGATGATTGAAGATAGTACTATATTCCTAGATATGGATATACAATTGATTTTATTAGATTTATTTTTTAAAGTATTTTGAAAAAAAATACGTAGAAGGAGTATTATTTTATTTAATACTCAGTGACAATTTGAGGGAGAGAGAGAGAATAAGATTTAATAAATCACTATTTTATTCTTATCTTAATCTTTCCTCCTAAAAGATTTGTACGAGTTTTAGGGGGTGTATTCAATCAAGAATTTGTAGAATTTTTTTAGATTTTAAAAGTTAGTGAGTATTAAATTGAGATTTTAAAAAGTTATTTAAAATCTGAGAGTATTCAATTTAGATTTTCAAAAATTATTTAAAATCTGAAAATATTCAATTTAGATTTTAAAATGTCTATTAAAATCTAATAGTATTAAATAATTTATAGATTTTAAAAGATTTCTATTATGTTTGAATTTTGATGGATTTTGAAGTTTTTTCTAAAGAAAATTCATTTTACAAATCTATTATAACATTTACACTATGTTTGGTTCAAGGATTTTGAAATGAAAAAGAAAAGAAAATGAGATGGAAAATAGCATTTCTTGTTTGGATAGAGAGGAAAAGAAAAAAAAGTGGAAAGAAAAGGAAATGAGAAGACAAAATATATTAAGAGAAGGGAAAATCAAATTCCTCCCATTTTGGTGAGGAAAATGAGAGAAAACCATTTTCTTTTCTTTTTCTTCCAAATTCCTTGAACCATATGTAGTGTTAAAGATTTGAACGGATATGGTTGTGAGCGTGGAATAGCCGCTGGAATTTTGGGATGTAGATTTGCGCAAAGACAAAAAATGCCGCTTGATTTGTGATCGACGATGGACGGAAAGAGACAAAACACTTGGGATCTCTAGATTTGCGCAAAGATAATGTCCCCACCTTCCGGCAAACAAAGTAGTGAGAAGATAAACACATCATACGAGTACTTTTTTTTCCAATAATCTATCAATCATATCTTACTTTTACTCATTATATCAAAGACAAAATTGGAAGTCAACTATAATTTTACAATTTCTTATTTTACACTTGGTCAAACTAAAAAGTCTCTTTTAGAACGGAGGGAGTGAGTTTGATCTTTCGAAAGGCCATCTCATGCTAGCTAGGTCCCCACATAGAAATATCATATTCCATATATCCCAAAAAGAATTAGTTATCATTATCTTAAAATTACGAGAGTGTTTGTTTATTTGTATGTCTTTATTAGTTACGAATATTTGATAAAATATTTTTGTCTACTCTTATTTTGTAGAATCTTTAACGTTATTCTTGAATATGTAAGTTGTATGTGTTATTTTTATATCAATTTTAGAAAAAATGAATTTAAATAAGACTTGCGCATCCTACATTCCTACCAAGTAGGGGTGTAAACGAACCGAATCGAAGCGAATACCGATATATTTGAATTTGTATTCGTTTAATTTTTTCGAATCCGAATCCGAATATGAGCCAAATTCAAAATAAGATTTGAATAAGTATTTGATTAATATTCGAATAGTTATCGAACCATAAACGAATATTTGAATAATCATACTATGTAATTTATATGATGGACCAACATCAATTTATAATTTAACTTACGATACTCTTTATACTATACTATATTCTGTATATAAAAACATTAATAAATTTGTATCTTACACAAATTATATTTTATAAAATATAACTATTAAAAATCATATGCTTTAGATTTTTGATGTTGAAAACATGGTCTGTGTATATATACATATATTCGAATATTCGAATATATCCCTATTTGTATTTGTATTTGATTAATATTCAAATCAAAAATAATATTTGAATTTGAATTTGTATTTGAATAACGCGAATTCGAATCATCATATTCGAAAACAAATCGCGAATCGAATTTAAAATATTTGATTTGTTTACCTCCCTACTACCAAGTCCAAGTAAAGTTTATAACAGTCACACCGAGTACTATAATACCGAGTCCGTAAACAAAGCCATCGTTTTCTTTCCATTGCTCCCAACTAGCCCAAGTCCCACCCAAAATATAAATAGTTACTTCCTCCGTCTCAATTTATAGTGTCTGTTTCGGTTTACGATATTCGACTAAAATTATTTTCAAATTATTTTATATAACAAATGATATAGAGTTAAAAAATAAAAATTACATATTAAAATACCACATCAAAAGATTTACAAAATTAGTAGTGATAATAGTATTTTATTTTATCAAAATGCTAACGAAAATAGAGAAAGAAAGTGTATGAAATTTGACCATGTGAATAGTGAACAAACATTATAATTTGGAACGGAGGGAGTATAATTTTAGGGTTGGGAGAAAGACCAAAGTATGACTAAAACATTGAAAATATACCAAAATAAGACTTCCATGTTTTTATTTCAGAAATAGGACTTAAAATGCATTTACATTACTAAACATGATCATGTACATTACCAAAAAAATATAATAATGTGAACATGTACAGTGTCACATTACAATCACATTACCACAGCGTGAAGTCCTATCTCGGGGAAAAAACATAAACATTTTACTTTGGTATTTTTCTCTATGTTTTAGTCTTACTTAGAGTGATTTCTATTTGGGGTTTGGGAAAAAATTGAGTAAAACATTCAAAAACAAAAGTAAAATGCTTACAAGGTTCTCATATTTTTTAGAAAGTACTTTTTAAATGTATATATTATTTTAAGTGCTTGTTAGATCCATATATATTTTCTAAAATACTCTGTCCGTTCTAAAACTTTCTTCCCAGAGCACTATTACAATTTCATGGGAATTTATATTTATTTGTGTTTTTTCATGGCCTATATGATAAAATAAAATATTCTTGTCACCACTTGTTTTGTTGAACTTTTGATGTAGTTTTTAGATATGTATGTTTTATTTTTTATTTCTATACCAATATTTAAATAAAATAGATTGAAAAAACATGGGATTTTTCTTCATTTTGCGCAACGGGAAGAAAGTTTTAGGACGGATGGAGTATATCATAGGTCCCTGTATTAATCTTAGTTCCTACTAGGTCTATGTGCTTTCTAACTAGTTTCTTATTAGTCTATTCAGTGACATTTTTTCAAATTTCAAATCAAGTACGCGGGAATTGTTTGAGCAACACACACAAGTTGTTCGAAAATTTATGATATAACGTCAATTCTTACAATAATTTTAAGAGACTTTGTTCGAAAAAAGCCACCGAAAGGATCATTAAAGCACCAATTTAAAAGAATATGGATAAATGTAAACAATAATTTAGAGACATACTCCGTATGAAGTAATATAAAAAAATATAGAATCTTGTAAGCACTAACAATAATTTAGAGGTTTGGTTCTTGACCGACTGAGTCACCATGATTTACATCCTCCACGCCCGCATGGGTAGCTCAGTTGGTCAAGAGCGTGAAATCTTGGACCGATGACTAGGGATCGAGTCCCGCAAGCGGCAGTGTGGGAGCTATCCAAAAATCCCATAAAGGGTGAGGAGGCTCCTTGTGCGCGGTGGGCACGGGTCTAGCGTTCTTGGCCGACTGAGTCACCATGATTTACATCCTCCACCATTCCTGTCGGGCAAGGGGGTGGGCGATTCCACCTTTTGGACCGAATAATTTAGAGGTTTGGAAGCACTTTCAAATTTCAATATAGGGACTTTATTAGCACTCTATCCTAAAAAATTACCAAAATTAAAATTTCATGTTTTTATTTCTTAAATAAGAGTTAAAATGTTAATAGTATTAATATATAATGGGCCTGTTTGGGAATAGCGTTAGAGATTAGCGTTAGCGTTTTGGATAAAATTTTAACGGTGCAGATTAATTTGAAAACGCTGCCCGTAGATAGCCTTTTGAAAACGCTAACGCTAATCTCTAACGCTATTCCCAAACAAGCCCAATATCCAAAAATATAATAAAATGTTAATATATAATATCTCGTTTGCAGACTCTTATTTAAAAAATAAAACATGACATCCTAATTCCAGGGGTAAGAACAACCCACGACGATGATTGAAGTCATTGAACAAGATGAAAAACATTAATATTGAATATATACTTGGGATGAAAGATTTGGATACCATTTCCAAGAGTCAATTCCATTTCAATAGCAAGCGAAATCCGCCTTTTTCTGCAGTAATCTTACCTTTTTAGTAAATGGTGGATTGGAGTTTCTTTTCTTTCTTTTTTTGAGGATTGGAATGGAGTAATTTGATTGATGCATACAAAATAACTTGATTTCAGTACACCAATGATTGATTGGCGGTCACGAAACGGGGAGGCCGAGATAACCGGCGGCCGATCTGGCCATCACGGCGGCGAATTCGTTGAAGTTTATCACCCCGTCTCCGTCGGTGTCCGCCTCCCGTATCATCTCCGTCAGCTCCCTGTACGTCAGCGGCTGCCCCATCTTGGCCATGGATCCGGCCAGCTCCGCCAGCGTGATGTAGCCGTTCCCGTCGCGATCGAACGAGCGGAAGACCTCGAGGATCTGCTCCTGGTTCACCAGGATCTCCTCCGTCATGTCCGGCAAGATCGCCCTGGCCAGCTCCTCGAATTCCACGGCGCCGTTCCCGTTGGCGTCCATGTTGGCCAGAAGCGCCTGGATCTGGTCCCCCGACGGCTTCAGCCCTAACGAACGCAGCAGCGCCGCCAGTTCCAGCACCGTCAAGCTCCCGTCGGAATCCATGTCGAATCTCGAGAATATGTCCCTCAATTGCTTCAATTGATCGACTTTGAGATCGATCGACGACATTTCTATCCCCAAAACATGTACTCTCCTTTTCCAATTCGTTCTTCGTTGCAGCGCCGAAAGGGGAAATAAGGTCGAAAGAATGCGGTGATCAGAGATTAGGATAGGGCGGCGGCGGCGGAGATGGCGGTTGTTCGGGGAGGAAATGTCGTGGTTATGTTACGGGGGATGCGATTTGGAGGGAGGGTTGAAAATGGGCAACCGCTGGTTTGTTATAGTGTTCCGTTCAAAAATGGGATAATAGCTTGCCCAAGTTTTACAAAACGGTCCTGGTAGGGTACACCTCGGTGTACCCCAAATGAACACCATATACACCCCCTCATTCCATAACCAACCATACCCTCATCTCTCCTCCTCACTCTTTCTTCTTCCTCAGATCCCTGAACTCCCTCCCTCCCTGCCGATGATCGACGCAGCACCAGGCAACATCTTTTCCCTTTCTCACTCATTCTCTCTTCCTCCCTAGATCTCGCATCTCTCTTCCTCCCCACCAGTCGATTAGCTTCATCTTCGGCACCCCCTGAAGTTGCACGCCGTGGGCTCCCCGCAGCCGCCTAGAAGCGTCACAACGGCGCCATCATCATCATCGTCGTCACCGGAGCAGTAAATTATGGCAGAGATGGTGGTGCTGTTTTATTCAGATTACACAAATAGTAAATGTCTGTGTTCAAGAAAATAAGGACATTTAGTGTCTGTGTGACTAAATAGTATTAATTGTAATTTTTCTATTCTTTTTTAAACGTAGAAAAATTTGTGAAATGTTCTTGGTACTGTACTATTTCATAGATTTGAAGGGTGAAATTTTCTTCTAAATTACACAAATAATAAATGTCTGTGTATAAAGAATTATAGATTTTTAGTGTTTGTGTAACTAAACATTGGTAATTATAATTTTTTTCTTTTTTACAATCAAGAGTAATTGTGAAACATTCTTTACTATAGCATTATTTGGTATATTTGAAATATGTAATTTTTAATTTAGGTTTTACAGACAATAAGTTTCTGTTTACGATGAATTACAGACACTTGTTATCTGTGTGACCAAAACATACTCCTTACTTAGTTGAACATATGACAATAAGCCTCTCATTTCAGGCTTCAAAACACCTTGAGCGTCTCATTAAATACATGATACGAAGCAGACAAGCAATTAATATTGAAAACAGACATTCTACGTCTGTGAGTCAAAGTTCACATACATTTACCATTTTTTTCAAAACATGCAAAATTACAATTAAGAACTTATTGTTCATAATACAAGAACAAAAAGTAAAAATTCAGAAAGATAAATACATGATACGAAGCAGGCAAGCAATTAATATTGAAAACAGACATTCTACGTCTGTGAGTAGAAGTTCACATACATTTACCATTTTTTTCAAAACATGCAAAATTGCAATTAAGAACTTAGTGTTCATAATACAAGAACAAAAAGTAAAAATTCAGAAAGATAAATACATGATACGAAGCATGCAAACAATTAACATTAAAAATAGACATTCTGCGTCTGTGAGTAGGAGTTCACATACATTAACCATTTTTTCTAGAATACCAGTTCATGTTTCTGCCTGAATACCATTTTTACCTCGAGGCTCTTGCATTTAATCCAGAATACCAGTTCATGTGATGTGAAGAAGAGCCATTGATTGTAACATGTTTTTCTTGTGCAGGTTTTCAATTTAGCAAGTGCAGGTTTTTCTTGGTTTTCATTTAGCTGGACGAAATACTCAGCTTAGTGTCTTGTTTGTCTTAATCAATGTCTGCATTGTGATTACATTGGACAGTGACTCCAGTAAATCAACAATGACATCTAGCAGCGTTGGCTATGACAAGAAATCATTGTGAAATTACATTTGTTGCTCTGAATGTAACATCAACATGACAGAACGTTAAAAAATGAACTATCGATAGAAAAAATACACATAAAAGAAAGAGGAGAGACGTAACATTTGAAAATATTGGACTAAATGCGGAATGTTGTGCCAATGACATTAATCTCATTAGTCTAATATTCGATAGCATAAAAGTTCATCATGCCAAAATGCAGTTTTTTTTTGTAGCGTGGCCAGTCCAACAATTGTATCGCTATCCCAAACCAAACCCACATATATTCACCCTTAGCTTTTTACTCCCTCTTCCACTTCCAATACTATTTCTATGAACTGTACGTGTTCCCACGTGCAGTGGCATCACCTACTTCGCCTTCCTCCGTCTAGTGCATCAGTGGAAGATCCAAATTGGTGGAGACTTCATCCTTCCTTTTCTTCGATCTTCTGCACTGTGCAACAGCAAACTAAAGGTTTTAATAAACACTTTTTATTTCAATTTTAGAGTTTTTATTTGTAAATCTAGATTCAAACATTCAATTCTAACCACAAGTCAATCCTTCCCTCTTGTGAAATTAGTCTTTTTTAAATGTTTTTTTTGTTAATCATTGTTTCTCAAATTTATTCAGTCATTTAATTCTTTTTTTAATCTTTTCAATGGCTGATTTTTTGTTAAAAACTTGTGGTAATTGGGAATTTTTCATGCTTATTACGAAATGTCTGTGTAGTGCTTGTTATTGGTGCAAAATGTTAGTATTTTATTTAAGAGTCTGCTCAATTTCATAACTTGCTATGAAATGTCTTTGATGTGCTTCTTGTTGGCACAAAATGTCTGTATTTTAAGAAAGAACTTGCTCTGATTCATATATTACTCTAAAATGTTTGTGATGTGCTTATTACTGGCGTAAAATGCCTGTTTTTCATTTCAGACTCTACTCAGTTTCAAAACTTGCTATAAAAGTTTCTAAAATACTTTTTATTGGATCTTTTATTCATTGTCTTGATTGCTACATTGATTTTGACATGTATTTTAAAGATATGTCTACTCCATGATATTGAATGTCTGTGAGGTAATCTGTCACTAGTTTACATTGTTTTTCAGATTTCACATTGGTTGGAATGTTTTGTGACAAGAGGTCTAGATAGTTTATCTACACTGTCACAGACATTTTATGTTTGTGAAGAAAATCTTACAGACATGTAATGTCTATAACACATTTAACTGACACTATCATCTTCGCAAAAGTTTACCAATATCCCTCAATCTGCTCATCTGATTCTAATAGCTTCTAAAATGTGTTCCAAACGAAGTGATATTTCTGAATTGTATGTTAAGTTTCAGAGTTGGACTCGTGTTCCCCTATGGTTGCTTTTGGCGTGGAAGATTGAACGTTGGAAGATTGGAGATGGTTGCTTTTGGATTTCTACTATGTTAAGAACACATTTTGGATTTTGTTTTCACTGGTAGCTTGTAGAGGGTTGAGTGTTTTCTACTCACAAACAATTAATGTATATGGTTTTGTTTTCACAAACCGTAAATGTCTATGAATTCTATATATAATTCAATGATTGTTTGTGACAAGATATCTTGATACTTTATATTCACTTTCAGATACATGCATTGTCTGTGAAAGAAGTCTTACAAACACGCAATTTTCACTCAGAGTACACAGATAGTAAATGTTTGTATTCAAAATATTACAGAACTTTAGTGTCTGTGTAACTAAACAGTGTTGATTGTTATTTTTTCTTTTGTTTTAAACATAATTAAATTTGTGAAATGCTCTTGATACTCTATTATTTGGCATACTCTTTTGTTTTTGCTATTATAACTAACTCTCCTAGGATAACTTTGCTTAGTTAGTCATATATCCGTAGGACTCCCTGTATGTTAATACTTCAATTGTGTTGTACCACTTCTTTAGGCTATTGTAGTGGATCATATACTGGATCCCTGCCTAGCATCTCTATATATGTGATGTACCTATGACTCAATAAAAATTCAATCGAGGCATTCAATCNAACATAATTAAATTTGTGAAATGCTCTTGATACTCTATTATTTGGCATACTCTTTTGTTTTTGCTATTATAACTAACTCTCCTAGGATAACTTTGCTTAGTTAGTCATATATCCGTAGGACTCCCTGTATGTTAATACTTCAATTGTGTTGTACCACTTCTTTAGGCTATTGTAGTGGATCATATACTGGATCCCTGCCTAGCATCTCTATATATGTGATGTACCTATGACTCAATAAAAATTCAATCGAGGCATTCAATCGTTATATATAGTGTCTATGTCTATGTAACTAAGCTATGTTAATTGTAATTTTTTTTTACAATATAGAGAAATTATGAAATGTTCTTTATGTTTCATTACATGGTATATTTGATTGATTTCATTTTATACATGTTACATAGACAATAAACATCTATTTCTGATGAATTACAAACAGTTTTTGTCTAAGTGACCATAAAACATAATAAATAATACTACAAAGAGCCAAGAATTAGATGTAGTAAAAAGAGAGAGATATAGTTACAATAAAGTGTAAGCTATAATATAGCACAATAAGATATTGTTTTCAAGAATGAGAAAGAAACAAAGAAAAATTTAATTTCCCTTTTCAATTCCACAATCAAAGCAAGCAAAAGAACTGAGAACATCCAAAATTATATCACACCCAAACTTTATATACAAAATGTTACATCCTTCAAAATTTAAGACTATAAAATTCTAGTGACATGTGATGATTTCATCTTTGCCATCACCAATATTGACTTCAGTCATCCTCTGCAAGAAACAATCTTTCATCACACAACTTCAACACATCTTGTTAATGCTGTAAAAACAAAAAAAATATGAGAAGTAAATTAATGCATTGGCAAATTAATAAAAAATTTAAATCAAAACTAACAATACATTCCAACCAACATATTGATTATCTATGACTATGAGATTAACTTTTACATACACTTAACGGTTTTAACTGAAGAATTTACTTAGTGTCTGTATTTAGGCATTTACAAATATGTAGTATCTGTGATTACAGACCTGCAGTATTTGTGATTAAAAATTCACAGACAGTAAATATTTGTGAACTCCATGTATGCTCAAGAAAATGCAATTTAATCAAATTATTGTCTAGCTATCAAGAACAAAGAAAATTTATGAAGCAAACATGAAAGATATAGAACAAATTGAGTCCATATTGATTAGTATGGTCATGCAATATACAAAGTAATACACAAAGAGCTATTAAGCACACCAAATAATACTACAAAGAGCTAAGAATAAGATGTAAAAAGAGGATCATTCTCAAACGTCTGTGATGTGCATTTGGAAGTTACCAAACATGAAATGTCTATGACAAATATATCCCAGACACGTAATGTTTTGACAATATTGAGAATAATACAATATCGACATTTAAGTGTTTAATTAAAAGATTTGTCTATGCAACATTGACAAGTCTAGTTTCACAGACTTGAAATGTCTATGCGGGGTTTCTCACATGCGCCTCATGTCTGTGTGATCCTGAGAACAATAAAGTATTACTTTTTCACAACAATATTAAATCAAACTTCAAGTACTCACAAATAAATATTTTACATAAACAAAACATTATAAGGCACAACTTTTACTCATATCTTAATGCAACCCAAATGACATTTCTTGAAATTGCTTCATATTGACTACACTCAAATTTTTTTGTAATAGCCACCGCATCAAATGACAATTTTCCACAAACCAAATATTGGCCAGGGGAATGATCCTTTGTGGAAATCAAATAAAAGTGACATTTTAATTTTATGTGCAAAAACATGCACCTGTAATTAACCATAATCATGTAATAACTGAACAAA